AACAACAACAACAACAACGTGTAAGTATGGGCTCCAGGGTCATGCTGGGATGATTTATGTTTGAGGACCTTGTAGAATTTTACTGTGTGTGTTACATGTTTGATATTATTGTCATACTGCAGATAAACTGACACATGTCCATCTTCAGAAACTCTGAAGAAAATAGTGTTGGCTCAGTGTCAGTGTCATTGCTCCGCATTGCTTCTCCTCATAATATGTACCATGTCAGCTGTATGCACATTTGTTTTCCCGGATAAGCAATGGCCATCGTATCAGGGAGCACCAAAAGCAAGAACTTTCTGAGGAATCAGACCAAGAAAGAATAAATTACATTTGATTCTGTTAGCTAGAAAAAAAAAGTCTCTTGGGTTTGAGGACACATGGAGAGGTTAAGCAGCCCTCTCACACCTGTGGCTGTGGAGACCTTTGGTTTCTTGTCACATCATGTGTATTGTGCGCAATATCTTTCTGTGCAGCTCTTGTAATTACACCTGTTTGTTTTAACTGTCACTCTATAGTCAAGGAATATATTTCCTACCAAATTGCTGTTTTCTCATTGCTAAAGTACTGAAACTGCAAAATGTGCCAAAATATCTTTCTTTGTTTACAGCAACATTTTTTCCGCTAATAATTTTTTTCTTTTTGTTTCACATTGTGAACATCAACTTGAATTATTGGGTCAGTCTCACAAAACCTTAAAGGTGGGGAAAAGTTATCCTGTGAACATATAATTGTGCAGTTTATGAAGAATAAGACTTGGTCCTTCATATTAGGAGAAATCTCTGAATTGAATGGCAATAAAGATCTGCATAAAAACCAGAGGAGACATTTCAGGTGAGTATCATTTATAAACTCTGGTGGCCTAGTGGTTAAGGAGTTGCACTGCATAGTGGTTATGGAGTTGCACTGTCAACCCAAAGGCAGGTGGTTCAAATCCACCAGATGGCTTATGAGAGAACGATAGATAGGCTCCTCCCATGCAGTTTGTTGTTAGGTGTCATCTAGTAGAGTATGACTCATAGTGACCCTCTGAACAAAAGGTCTTAAACCTGCTCCATCCTGTTCCATCCACACACTTCCTGACACACAAGATTCCATTGCTGCAGTCACCATGTCGTACATCTAAGTTGAGGGTCTTCCTCTCCTTCGCCAACCCTCTTCATCATATGTTGTTTCATGAAATTCTAAGTTAGCCAATTCCTTTTGGTACAGTGATTCTCTCCATCTTTTTTTCATGCTTCCTGGATCATTCAATATTCTGCTAATAGCATCCTTAAGTATTGCAACTTGAAGCTTAAATTTGTTCTTTAGCTCCTTCAGCTTAAGAAATGCTAAGTGAGTTTGGCCCTTTTGGTTTTCTGACTCCAATTCTTTGTACATTTCTTTATAATACTTGGCTTTGCATTTCCCTTTGAAATATTCTGTTTAACTCCTTTACTTCATGATTTCTCCCCTTGGTGTGTTAGAGTCTCTACTGACATTTTTCTCAGTCTTTTCCTCCTCCTCTGTTTTTGCAATGCCCTATTGGTTTCTTCATGAATGATATTCTTGATATCCTTTCAAAACTCATCAACCTTACGA